AAAAGTACTTTAAACTGTATAAATAATGTAAAATTAAATTGAATTTATTAACCAATCAGACGAACTTCTGTCTATGAAAACTTAATCCTCGTATAAATGAATCCGGTAAATTATCATTCATATGATATCAGATGTGAAACCTATTAAATGATTACACGATTCAAATCATTTCCTAATAAGTGAAAGTATTGATACGATACACAAAAGTGTCGATGTTATAAATGAATAAAAAAAACATGTCTAGTAATCCACGTTTTTCACGTAGTTTAAACTGTAATTAACCATAAATGTGGTTATATAAAATAAGAGCATTCGGACTTGATTGGAATAAATTTCAAAAAAAATGTATGTATCGCCTATTTTAGCCAAAATAGATTACTCAAAAGTTTAAAGTTAATTTTGAGTTAAAAATTTTATTTTCAGAACTATCTATATAAAATGGCGGAACTTCTTGCGTTATCACGTCATGTATACCTAATCGATCCAGCTACAGGTACATACGAAGAATATAATAATGAAGATTGGTCTTCAACAGTCTCTGGTGCACTTATTCCCTCTACTCGTAAAGTTTACGTTACTACCACGTTCAACAATCTTTGGGAACTTTCTTTGAACGACAAAAAAGTCCGAAAAATAAGTTGGGATGGATGGAGTGCTTGTAATACTTTAGTTGCAGTTCCAGAAGATCCAAGCGAATGTAGTTACAAATTATTTGCATTTTGCCATAAACTTTGGTTAGTCGATGATCCTAATACTGGACATTGTACAGATTTTTTGGGTGGATATACAGATATTTGGGCTCGAGTTAATGCTGCAGCAGCTGTTGGGCAAAAAATTTTTGCTACAACTTCAGCTAATAATTTGTGGTGTGTTGATATTATTACTAAGGAAACCAAAAAATTGGGAGGTGGGTCAGACAATTGGTCGAATTGCAAAGCTTTGGCCAATGTTGAGGGTAGGTTGTTGGCATTCTGTTATGGATTGTGGGAAGTTAATACAGAGAACGGAGATTATACACCATTTTTTGATAAGGATTCGGAGGAGGCTAAAAGATCTTGGATAGGGGTAAAGGCAGTTACTGTTATTGATACCTATGTTTATGTAGTGGTAGGAGATCAATTGCTTGCGTTGGATACAGTTAGTAAGAAGATCAGGGAGGTAAGTAAGGATAATTGGGGTGCCACAAAGGTTTTGATTGCTATCTTGCCATCTGATGACTAAAGACAAAAGTCTTACATAGTTTGTTTCATATTTCTTGTATCAATTCTTATATTTATTTTTTTTATGATCTAAGATATTATGTACGAAATTTAATAGAAAGGATTCATTTATATTCGAATATGAATCACGTTGATTATTAGTGCAGTTAACTGTAATTTTAATCATAGCTTATTTGGATAGATTAGAATCCAGACTTAGTATATTTAATGAATCAGAGCCCAGACCCAGTATATCCAATGAATCATGATTTGACGTTGAGTTAGGCGTCCAATTCAAAGATGTTCAAGGTTGACTCGAACGTCGCTCATGATCGACGGCGCAGTCACATTCAGACGTTATTATTAACATTGCTATATAGTGAATAGTTGACGTCGAAATTACCGAATTGCGGCATTGACGCATTATATTGCATTATATTACGGTATTGTCATATTATCATCGTTAAATCGACAATTAATGTAGTATTGTGACAATGCGGTATTGCAGAATCTTTAATTTAATTTTGGCGTTACTGTAACTATACATGTGATTAAACACAACATTTCTATTTCATCGAGACATTACATTTAAAAGTATCAGAAACTGTTAAATTACTGCTATTAAAATCTTTGAACACCGGTTATCTTTAACAAACCTTCACCTACACATAAAAACTGTCATGAAAAGAATTCAAATTGAATTTAGAAATCTTGAAATAATTTGAAGAATTATACCAGTAATTTGTAGTATTTTTTTATATCCGTTAGCTTAATTCTTAATGATTTAGGGTGGACTTAAGTTCAGTCAATTATTTTGCTATTAAAAATATAATAAGTTGTTATTAGTAAAGATGGATAACCCGATTTAAGCATGATCTTTATATTCATTAAATTTAGATGAAAAAGTATTAAATAATTAAATAATTTTAAGATGAATTGAGATTAAAAATTAATAAAACTAGTTTAAGAATGTTTGACAATATTTACTTATCCTAAAACGCATCTATGGTGTTTTTACACCTACGTTTACATTATTCAAAAACTAGCTAATTAATCAGTGTGAGGTATTCTAAGTAAAAATGTTTACGCCCCTAAAAACCCTTCCCAAACCCTAACCCTAAATTTAAATACTAACCCGAATGTAAAAAAATTTATGTTAAAAATTTAATATACAAAACTTAGAAAAATATAAAAAATATAATAAAAATATAATAGATGTAAAACATCATAGATGCGTTTTATAATAATTCAAAAATTTTTATGCTTTTTTATGTATAGAATTTTTTGAAAATAAATTAAAAGCCGGATTCTGGGTTATTTTTTAATGGGAACCAGAAATAATATTATAGTTATTAATAATGCTAGTCAGATTAACTACAAGCAATTTGTATAATTATATATAAAAATAATAAATAAAAATTGCAAAATTATTATTATTATATTAAATATTGATTTTACTAGCTTAATTAACTAACTACAGTACTATAAGTTACTTTTATAATAACAAGTTTTAGTTGTCAATTATGACTGTGATTGTCTTAAATTGAAATTGATAAAAAAAAAATAATTGTAATCATTATTCTTCAGTATTGATCATTTTTTATAAACAACTTTAACCATCGAGCCAAATAATTTATTCGCTGCTTTATCTAGTTTATATTATCTCTAATTTTTATTTTTTATTTTCTTGATTCATTCAGTTAATTTATTGCTTTCTATTCGATAGATAAACCTGTTAAATAAAAAAGAAGTTAATAACTTGACAAAAATTCTATAATTACATTTTTTACATTATTAGTCTTTCGAATAGGTTCTTAATCCATCCCATTTTCTTGATTTGTATATACCGGTATGTTTAACTTTTATTTTTCAAAAAAAGTTTTAGTGACTTCGATCTCACTTAATCGAATCTACCTTCACCGTTACTATCGTATTTTAAAACCTTTTAACCAATCTAGGCAAACTTCATGTCCGTTATCCTTTCTTATTCTATTTCCACTTTCATAGCATTGACTGAGTTGATATGTCCTTTCAATATTTCCCATATCCCGGCTATTGAGTCTTTAAAACTTCTGTAAGACGACATGAAATGACGTCACGTGCGCCCGAATAACACACCTCATGTATAGTGTTTGTAGTCGATTTTGTATCAAAAAATCGACTTAGTCGACTCTATGATAGTTTTATATAGAATATATTAAAAATTAGGCCAGTTTATATAGAATCCGAAAAAAAAATCAATGAATATAAAATACAAGACAAAAATTTGAGGAAATCTCCGATAGCTTCCGAAGGGTAATCAAATAGAACTTAGAATAATCGACTCTAATTTAGCCGGCTAAGCCGATTTTTAAATATCGACTTAGT